GTGAATAGGTACTTTGAGATTAGTTATGTCATAGGGGAAGCAGAATAGCTACAGGATTTGTTAACAATAAAGTTTGGGAACCTAGTTAGATCCCATTGGTGCTCCGTGTTTGCTACTTGCTGTTTAATGCATGCTTTGGCCTGATCATTTGGAGAGTGGAGAGAAGCCCAAGGATGAGCCATTTTCCATGTGGACTGAAAGCCACCCCTCAAGTTAATGGGGCAAGGCCGAGAGGAACGGCGTGAGTCAGTAGTTGAGTACAGTCACACACATTCTGGCCTCCTCCTCCTCCTTTTCCCCCCACAACAACAACTCTGTGAGGTAAGTTGGGCTGAGAGAGAGTGACTGGTCCAAAGTCATCTAGCTGACTTATTGGCTTGGCTTCAAATAATTTGACTGTTGCTGGTACATAGTGATATATAGCATAAAGTAGAAATTTTACTTTTGTAATATAGCAAGTTTATTTTACTGTTGCTGACATTCAGTTTTATGAATTCAGTTTTAATCTACATTGAACTTTGACTATATATGTAATAGTTAGCTCTTAGACTATTAATGAATGGATGGGAAACAACAGGCTTCAGCTGAACCTTGCCAAGACTGAGTGACTTGAAGTTTAGGGGCTCTCTTCTTCTAGGACTTAACCATCTCTGATGCTGGATGGGGTTGCACTACCCCAAAAAGATCCTGTGCACCATCTGAGGGTCCTCCTGGATGTATGACTTATGACTGTTGGTCAATGAGCACGTGGCATTGGGGCCAAGAAGGCCTTTTCATAAAAATAATAAAAAAATATCATTACTTTTATGTTTGGCTTTTTGTTTATTTTTTTCTTTTATATTAATTAAAAAGAAATAACATTTTTTTAAAGGAAGACCTTTTCACAACTTTGTATTTTCACCAGTTGCACCCATTCCTATGATTTTACAATTGTTTCATAAAATCAGTTAGGGCTTTTGCTTAGTTATTTTGGCAGTTTTGAATAAAGGTTCCTCTAGGAACGTGGGGGGAGGAGTTTGTGAGCTGTATATATCTCTGGGTCTCAGGTCACTTACCTATGAACTAGGTAAGTGACCTGAGACCCAGAGGTGTATACAGCATACATTAGGTAATAACCTAATGACAATCCTTGTATTTTGAATAATTTGAACTTCTAAATTCTAAATTCCTAATTTTTATGAGGAATCCCATCATGTCACATCCCAGGACTCCCGTGTAAAATTTCCAGAATATAGATAATCATAGCCAAGTTCTCACAGTCTAGAAAGGGCTGAATATTTTTTAAAAAATATTGAGTATTCTCAGGGCTTTTTTTCTCATAGAACATCCAGAACGGAGTTCCGGCACCTTTTTGGGATGGAACCTTGTAGGGTAGGCAAGGCAGGTTGTATAATGTGTGTGAGTTCCGGCACCTTTTTTTTTTTTTTTTTACAAAAAAAGCACTGAGTATTCTAGGCTACTATGGTCAGTTTGTTCTCTGGTGGTAGTGTTAGATCAAAAAGTTGCTCCAGATTATGCTTCCTTTCTACAAAAGTTGAATACTGTTTTCATAGGGGGAATATTGGAACCATTTGTCTTAATAGATTCCAGCTTCAATTATTGGCCCAGTTCAATTTCATTACTGAATTCAGAGCTTCAGCATTTATATAGCTTCATTTGATTCTGATAAAAGTTAAAAGAGAATTAGAAATCCTCACTGTATGCTTGATACTTAATTCCTTAATTCCAAATGTTTGTATGACTTTTTTCTAGCAGATTTATATAGATATTATAAGGGATGGAGGGAGGATGCAACATCAAAGTAATTTAAAAATTGAGAGATCCACAGAAGTTTCTCTATACTACCTTTTGCAACTGAACTTCTAAGGAACGTTTAGGCCAGACATGTCAAACTCGCAATGTCATGTGACGTCACGCAACGTATCGGAGCTTTTTCCCCATTGCCAGCAATGGGGTGGGCGTGGTTTCCTCGTGGCACATCTGGCCAGTGGGCTGGCAGTTTGACACCTCTGGTTTAGGCAAATTGAATCTGCAGGGTGAAGCTGTATTGCCCCAATCCAGAAAGCAGATTAGTTAAGATTCCATGACCATTGATATCAAAATCTGCTAAAAGATACAGATAAATAATCAGGGTTTTCATTTGGCTTTCTCTTTCAAATCTGAGGTCCAAAAGGATTCTCAAAAAGATTTCTCATTCAATTCCTTAGTCTAAGCCTGATTTAATCAGTTCTAAATATCTTCACTAGGAGCAACTATACCACTGCTTGGCAAAAATGAGATATTTGAGAATTGGGCAATAGTTTATGCAGTTTTTATTTCAGTGAGATGGAATGCTGTCACAGTTATTGCTTCAAAGAAGCCTTGTCCTTTCCTCTTTTAATATGGCACTAATAAAGTCTTGGAGCTGTCCAAACAATACCCAGCAAAGGGAGCATACAAGTGATTTAGCATAGTTCTGTAAGTATTTTATCTGTCTTATAGCAGAAATAATCAAAATAAAACCAGATCACTGGGCACTCCATTGAAACTGTAGAATATTAATATCTAGATTGAAGGATATATAATTCATTTTACTGCATAAATACTTAACCAACTTGTCACATCAAACTTCTGAGTGTTTCAAAATATTTCTCACATAATTTAGATGTAATAACTTTTTCACTGTTAAAATATTATTTTGATTGGCTTCATGAGGATGCAATGAAGGAATCCTAGTTGAGTCTTTTTTCCTATTTTTGCAATGACAGGTTAATCAGTATTTTTTTTTTATTTATGTCCCATGTTTTGCTTAAGAGTGATTTGAATTCAGAATTATACTTTGGGGTAGTTGTTCTCTTGAATCTACTGCTAGCCATTCATGCAAGAGTTGTTGTTGTTGTTGTTGTTGTTGTTAGATTTTTATCGTGTCTATATGTTTAGTAAACTTAAGGTGGCTGACATATCTAATATTCCAGCTTCCTATTTCCCCCAGAAAAATAATTTCCCCTGTCAGTTTTCAAGCCTAGGGGAGGTCTAGAACTCAGATTCTCCTGCTTTCTATGCCAGTACCTTTGCTACTACATTCCTCCCCCCCCCCCACAAAAACCCCACACAGAAATAAATATTACCCAAATCCAAGTGTTCACATAAGTTCTTTAGGGAATTAGAAAATAAGAGATATTCTAATTATTTTTCTTGGGAGAATTAATAGACAGTTCTAAAGTGGAAGTAATTACTTCATACAAAATAAATTTTAAAAACTTAAGCTGCCGGTTGCTTTCTGGAATAATCATGGTAGAACCAGCAAAACCTCTGGCTTGCAAGTGTTGTCAGCAACTTGGTTAAAGGTTGCCAAAAGTCCAAAACAAAGAAAACAATGCTAGAAATGATTTTAGCCAATTCCAGAGATCCTGCCATAAAAAATGGAGAGGAGGAGAGAAAGAAGTTTGAAATAAATAGGGATTACTTTAGCATTAAATACATGCTAAAAATGAAAAATCCATGACATTATCAGGATTGCACCAACAGCTCTGAGAGTCATTTTCCTGGTTTGCTCATACCGGTGACTATTCATAAGCCAAATTATCCAGGTGCTTGCTATTGGGATATGTTTCCCAAGGACTAAATACTAAAACTTTTTCTTGGTGTCTCTTGAGGGAAACATTAGCATGAGTTGAATGATCTGGTTGGATAAATGGATATTTTATTCAAAGAAACCATGACATAGTAAGCTATTATACAGCCATAGTGAATCTTTCTAATCTAATCTCTTCCAGAACATTCTGTTTGCAATACATTTAGATCTAAATCTCAAAAACTAAGACCAAAGATCAAGACTCTTTTTTATGCATAAAAAGCCAGATTAATAAAAAAAATGTATCTGATCATTGGACATAAGTATCTAGGACTATTCCCTCTTGAGTCATTCCCTATTCTTTTCTTTCTCCAGAACTATATGATAAATCAGAGAACAGGCTATAAAGAGTACTTGAAAGGTGACATGTTGGCAGAACTTTTCATCTCAACATTCCATGTAAGATTAGGTTTGGGAAGGAGCTTCATTCATTTGACAAAGAAATTCACAGGGCATTCTAGACTTCACTATTAGCATCATAAAAGCTATTAAGAATGAACAAAACACATTAGAAAGAGATGAGTGGAACAATAACATTTTCACTTCACAGCATGATTCTTGAATGGTACAAATGTTATAAATTCACTAAGGCTTCAGGCTCCCCAATATTATAACCAAATCTTACTTTAGTGATTCTTTAAGAAAGAACTATATATGTGCTATAAAATCCATACATCATCTTCCAGTAGAATGTTTTAAAATATGAAGTACAGATTATTAAGAGAGCCAGTTTGGTGTAGTGGTTAAAGCATCATACAAGAAACCAGGAGACTGTTAGTTCTAGTCCCGCCTTAGGTACAAAGCCAGCAGGAGGATCTTAGGCCACTCGCTTTCTCTCAGTTCTAGGAAGGAAACAATGGCAAACCACTTTGTAAAGCTTTGCCAATAAAATTTTACAGAGTTGCCCAATTAGGAATTGCATATAATTGAACAGAAGGGGAAAAAAAAGACAGAGTGTAAAATGTCTCTTGTAAGTCCTTTGAGACAATTCCAGATAATTTATATTTGAACTAATTTTACATGCTGTGTAATCAACTTTTTTTCTGTAACAGTTCAAAGCAATTGTTTTGAAGTATCTGATTATGGGAAGATAAAGTATAAAGGAAATATATTGCTTTAAAAAAAGATCTGCATTTGGAATTAGCATAAATTATTGTATCAAAAGTATTGTTTTATTTTTGCTTGAACACTTGTTAATATTCAGGAAGAAAGACTGACTGTGGAAATGTCCTTTTCTTTGTTTACAGACATTGTCCAAATGTTATATCTATTGTGTTCTGTATTTGAACTTCCTCTTATTTCCATTTATTTTTGAAAAGAGTAAATTAAATCAAAATTATTTGGTGCAGAAATGTTGTCTAAGATTTCCTTTTAATTTCCCCCCCAGTGGTCTCTTTGCTGGCAACATCACAGAAATGCATTATTTGGAAGATGGTACTAGCACTATTGTCACACGTAATTACACGGTAAGCTTTGTGAATTCCTATGGTTGGAAGTCAATGTATCATATTTCATAAATAAAGGGAAAGAATGGGAACCATGAAAATAAAGTGGGTAGCCTATATTTGGTTTTAGATCTTGACTGCTGTAGTTTATTCACCCTTTTGTTCAACATGCACATCTGTGGAAGGAAATGCTCCAATGGAACCTTGATATAGGGCTTTAAATTGCTATAAGATTTGTGCACTTGTTGCTCTTTGAAAATGTGCCTGTTAGAGGTTTCATACAAGTTGAAAGCATCTACTGTTGCAAATATGCAGCATGAGAGCCAGATTTTGAGATATGGAGGCTCTAAAAAAAAAAAAAGATTATAAAGACTTCCTGGATTTCTTCAGTACAGAAGCTAGAAAGCCCGTTTTTTTTCTTTTTCATTTTCATAGGATTAGACCCTGAAAATATATTATAGATGAGGCTATGGAAGAAGAGTTGATAAAAGGATTCAAGCTTTGCCTGATATTTATTAAAATCTTAAGAAATATCTTCACAAAGCATTCACATCTTTTCAATAAAAATATAAGACTGTAATGACATGTTATTTTTTCTAGCTGTAAATAAGTTTCTTAATTAAAACTGTACAGGGGATAAACTTAATTATTATACAGTATTTGTCTTTTGATTAATTCAAGCTGAACTGACATTACAACATTAAAATTATATATTTGAGAGAGCTGTTGAACTCGGTGCTTTTCATAATAACCATGTAGAATACATGAAGTTACAGAACGACTTTTGTCTTATATTGGGACTGTCGATATAACAATTTTGGAACTGAATATTATAATCAATGGTTTCACTAAAGGTTCTTTCAGAGATTTCCCTGCAGTTTGCTCCAAACAATAAACAACATTCTATGAATGTAACTTGACAAAATGCCTGGCTGAGGAATTCTGGGAGTTGAAGTCCACAAGTCATGAAAGGGTCAGGTTTGAAGACCCCTGAACTATTGTTTCTCAGTATTGTGAGGGGGGAAATACAAACTTCATTTTTCCAACACCTTTTTTTTTCTCAGAATGAACATGCAGCTGGCAAAAGGAAGCTGCCCCAGACATAATTCAAAATAAATTTTGAGCTGCATTCCCCAGCAGTTGGTATTCAGAGCCATAATATATAGTTAATGGGATTAAAAGACTTTCTTCCATGAATTAACACTCAGCTTCTGAGTGAAATTTAAAGTGATATCTGTCACCTTTAATTTCCTTCCTGATTCAGTTTCTGAATATCTATGGGATCTTCTCTCAATAACATCTGCTTGCAGAGAGGACTTACTAGCTACCTCTTCACTTAAGAAAGGCCACACTTGGATTGGAAAGAAAAACTAAAGACATTGATATGGGATGTGCTCTGCAATATACATTAGTTCAACGTTACTTTAACCACTGGTTACCATGGTGGGCATGATGGAACATAAATGTTTTGAAACATATCCTGATATAAGGTTGGGAATAGATGAGGGCTAATAAGCAAAGACTGAATCCTGTCGAGGAGATTTTGTGAGTAGGGGATTTCTGGATTGGGGAATTAGCAGTTTATCTGTTCTAAAATGGGAAAACATTCTCACAGAAAGAGTTTCAGAGTGTTTCTACAGTCAACGTTGTCACATGAGGCTCAAGTATCCTCTTTGCCTGGGAATACATATTGCCAACTTCCGCTGGAAACAAACAGTGCCATTTTTAGGATTGCAGTATTCCAGCTTAAGCACAATAATGGCATGTTTAGATTATACTATACACTCTATGTGAAGCTACTAATGTCCTTGGTTTGGAAGCTAATGCAGTGGCTGAATGGAGTACCTGGCCTTGGCCATTCTACACTTTTACACTAGCTGCCAGTTAGTAACTGAGCCCATTTCAAGATCACATACAGTTCTACAATTGGTTACTGAACCCAGTTCAAGATCACATACAATTCTAAACTTGAGCTAAGAGTATCTATCAGATCACTATAACCATATTAGGCCTGTAATGCCACCAGGAGGAGAGTGTACAGTGGAATGCCCCAGGGCTCTGTTCTGGGCCCAGTGCTTCATCAATGATTTGGATGAGGGGATAGATGGAGAACTCATCAAATTTGCAGACGACACCAAGCTGGCAGGAATAGCCAATACTACAAAAGATAGGCTTAAGATACAGAAGGATCTTGACAGACTTGAACACTGGGCACTATTTAACAAAATGAAATTCAGTGGTGAAAAAAGTAAGATTCTACATTTAGGCAAGAAAAACCAAATGCACAGGTATAGTATAGGAGGTACCTTCCTCAATAATAGTAAATATAAGAGGGATCTCAGAGTCCTAGGGGACAATCACTTAAATATGAGCCAGCAGTGTGCTGCAGCTACCAAAAAAGCCAGCACAGTGCTACGCTGCATTAACAGAGGGATAGAATCAAGATCATGTGAAGTATTAATACCACTTTACAATGCCTTGGTAAGGCCACACGTGGAATATTGCATCCAGTTTTGGTCACCATGATGTAAACAAGATGTTGAGACTCTAGAAAAAGTACAGAGAAGAGCAACAAAGATGATTAGGAGACTGGAGGCTAAAACATACAAGGAACAGTTGCTGGAACTGCATATGTCAAATTTAATGAAGAGAAGGACAAGGGGGGACATGATAAGTGTGTTCCAATATCTCAGCAGTTGCCATAAAGAAGAGGGAATTAAGCTATTCTCCAAAGCACCTGAAGGCAAGACAAGAAACAATGGGTAGAAACTAACCAAAGAGAGAAGCAACCTAGAACTAAGGAGAAATGTTCTGACAGTTAGAACAATTAATCAGTGGAACAACCTGCCTCCTGAAGCTGTGAATGATCCAACACTGGAAGTTTTTAAGAAAAGATTGGACAGCCATTTGTCTGAAATGGTATAGGGTTTCCTGACTGAGCAGGGGGTTGGACTAGATGATCTCCAAGGTCCATCCCATCATTAGCAGCAGCAACAACAACAACAACGATAATAATTAATAATAATAATAATAATAATAATAATAATAATAATATTTTGTTGTGTGTAATGACAGTTCCCGAAAGCTTTTGGGGGATATTAAATATCTCTAAAGTGGCGTGTAAAGTCTGGAATGCTCTGTTTTCTGATAATTGGGCAGCATCTGCTATCCAAGGGTTTCCCAACCTTTATGACTTTAAGATGGGAAGACTTCAATTCCCAGAATTTCCCAGCCAGCCATTTTGAGAAACCCTGTGCTATTCTGTCTTTTAGAGGCTTATTGAATTTTACCTCTTTATCCAGCCTTCCCAAAAATCATGTTGAAAGAGTGGGGCTTTCTTTTTCCTTCCTTGCCTCCCACTCCATGCTTTTAATGTTTTGTTGAACATTATTCTTATTTGTTGTTCCATATTGCTTTATTACACATGATATTTCTGCTGTTACTATAAACACATAAACATAGATACACACAATTTCTTTTATGTGACTTTCTCCCCATTACATTATTTTTTTATTAAGATGATACGAGAACAGATTAGAAAGGCAACTCAGTAAACATTCAAAGCAACCAACTTCATTTTATTCATGTAGATATGCCCTGCATATAGTCTATAACACATATCATTTTTTACATGGCTTCATCTAAAATGAAGTTGTTGGGCTAAGCTAATATTTTCTTTTACATGGTGATCAAATTTGCCAAAAATTTATACTCCTGAACTATTAAAACTCGACTGTGATCTTTTCATGATTACTTTCTCTAACCAAATCAAGGTGGTCTTTAGAAGGCTACTGTCTGAGACTATGTAATTGAAAACCATGCCCTGATACTGAAAGGTTAATTAATGCAGCTTAGATGTGAATGAACCAAGAAATAGAGATTGGTGATATGACTGTTATATGCTGAAATATGAGGGATAGCTTTCTTTGCATTAATAAGATAACCTTTCACAAAGGGGGTGGGGGGAGAGTTTCTTTTTTTAAGATGGCATTCAAAGGAGCTAGAAATGCGGCTTGTGACACAAACATTATTTTATAACCAGATCCATAACCAGGGAGAAGGTATTACATTTCATTAGCAATAGCATTAACCTTGAATTCCAGGCAAATTTTCAACTTAAATATTGACTATGTATCTTCTGTGATGGTTCTTTTGGTAAGCATCTGGATTTCTTAAAAAGAAATACCATAACCTGCAAAGTGAAACAGGAGTGGCCTTCTGAAAATAGAATTCCTTTTCATTCCTCTTCTTAATAACAAGCTGCTTCCAAGTCAGAATAGTATGATAAAATATTCTTCCTTTTTCCTCTCCCTTCTAATTTCTCATGATCAATTTCTTTGTGAAGCTGTAAAATAGGAAATGGTTCTATTACATTGTACAGTAGTATGCTTAATTATGTCTTATAGATCTGCATAATTTAAAATTTATATCTACAGTGAGCACCTAAAGGTGAATGACAATGTAATTTGCTCTGGTGTTTAATTTTACAAACTGTTCCCATCATGGTTTTCCAATAATAATATAATAAAAAAGAGCAGGCGTGTCCGGGATAATTGCTTTAAATACTTGTTTGATCATTGTCTTTTGTTGAATGAGGTAGAGCATAGATATTGCCTTGAGTTTATATAAATCTGGCATTAAATCCTGAAAAATTTCATGCCTTGTTTCGAACTAGGTAGAAAGATGCTTTCAGCGTGATTATTTCCTCAGTCATTGGAATTCAGGACAGATCTTCATAATAATAATAATAATAACAACAACAACAACAACAACAATAATAATAATAGAACAAAACATATCATACATCTGTAATAAGAGTATACATGGAATATTGGAATTGATCCTTTTTTCTCTGTCTCATTAGAATCACTGCTTCTATCATGGCCATGTACAAGAATATTCTGAATCTGCAGTAAGTTTGAGTACATGCTCTGGACTCAGGTAAGACAAAGTATTTGAGATTATGGACGTAAGATATAATCACAAGTGCTGCCAGTCAATTTTAAAGCCTTAGTCTAGATCTTGTAGGACATAGAAGCTCTTTAGTGAAATTGGGATGAAGGTATTACCAGTACTTAGATGGATGCCCACCTTTAAAGACTAGAATATTTCTATAGCACTAGTATCTCGGAATGTCTTGTTCTCTTCCCTCCTGGTACCCTTCTGTGACTTTGGAATAACCACAGAGTTTACTTGATCATCATAAACTTTTGTAGTATACTTTTATCCAGAGCTTTTTTTGTAAAAAAAAAAAGAGAGAGATGCCGGAACTCACATACCTCATACAACCCGCCTTGCCTACTCTACAAGGTTCCATCCAAAAAAGGTGCCGGAACTCCATTCTGGGTGTTCTATGACAAAAAAAAAAAGCCCTGCTTTTATTCTTTCAGAAATTCTGTCCTACTCTTGGTTCTTTCATCTGTTTTGTCCATTAGTTGCATTTCTCTATACCCCTCTAATCTCTTTGAAACTATAAATATTTCCTTTTTTTTAATTCTCTGTTAACAGGAATTCTCTTTTTTCTCTGCATTATTCAAAAGCTTTTGAGAGAAGTTCAAGTATGCTGGTATTGAATTATACATGAGCATCAACTACAATACCAATATAAATTATGAATATTAAGAATGTTGAAATATAAACATGAGCTGAATGGGGCACCAAAGCAACAATATTCATATGTCAAATGTTGTGATGCAAAAACACCATTATGTCATTGACATGATATCATTGTGTGTGTGTTGTTATATTGACGCTATCATGTTTTTCTATGGATGCTATTGTTTGGTTGCTACCATTTAGCACAGGGGTCTTCAAACTTGGCCCTTTTATGACTTGTGGACTTCAACTTCCAGAATTCCTTAGCCAGTGTGCCTGGGCTGAGGAATTCTGGAAGTTGAAGTCCACAAGTCATAAAAGGACCAAGTTTGAAGACCCCTGATTTAGCAGATGCTGGGAACAAACAATCTGAGCACTGACACTAGTCTAAAAAAAATATTATTTGAGTTTATCCCCAAAAGAGAAGCTAGGAATGAACTTTGTATTGCTTAAAGCAGGGCTTTTCAACCAGTGATATGGGTACCACCTGTGGTACATTGGCACCTGGCAGGTGGTATGCGACCATCCTAGAAAAGTGGTAGCGGGGGAGGGGAATGACCTGAACTGGTGGCAGCACTGCACAAGCCTGAGCAAGAGATGGCTGGAGCTGCAGAGCTGTCAGGGCTCAGTGGAAGTGCCAGGATCAGTGCCGCTTTCCAGCTGATCGGCATTTCTTCGGGGCTGTCAGGGTTCAGTGGAAGCACCAGGATCAGTGCCAGGCTCCAGATGGAGCTCTGCACTGATCCTGGTGCTTCTGCTGAGCCCTGAAGAAGCATCAATCAGCTGGAAAGCAGCACTGATCCTGGCGCTTCCGCTAAGTCCAGAAGAAGCGCTGATCAGCTGGATTGTTGCAGCATCTCCAGGGCCTTGTGATTTACGTTCAGATGCTTGGCAACTGATTCATATTTATGACAGTCACAGTGTCCCCGGGTCATGTGAAGTGACCAAAACCTGCTGCAACCACCCAGCAGACGGGGGGAATAAAAACCAAACACCCCCACCCCACCCCATCTGCCAATCCTCAACAGAAATGCTCACAACAGTGAAAACCACGGACAGGAGAAAGAGCGCCTCCAGTGGGCAGGTAGGTGTCTTGCTCAGCTGTGCCTTGGGGGGGGCACTTTTTTCAGTGCCATTGTAACTTTGAACAGTCACTTAGCAAACTGTTGTAAGTTGAGGACTACCTGTATTTTATCACTTTTTTCCTTTTTTGTTTTTTTTTGGTCATCAAGTTTTTGACACCTTGCTAGGCGACTGGTGGTACTCGGATATGGCCATATCCTAAAAGTGGTACAATGTGTGAAAAGGTTGAAAAGCCCTGCTTAAAGTAATCAGCCTATTTCCTGACAAATTCAAATGTCAACACATAGACGTAACTGTTCAATACCATAGTATCTAAAATGTTTACTAATCTAGGGAAACTTGTTTCTTTGAAAAACTGAATAAAATTAAGTAGATTTAATAATGCAGCAAAAAGTCACAAATCTGTTGGGAAATCTTTACATGTTTTTTATATTCTGGACCCAGTTCATAAATCTATTACTTTATATAACCAGCAAATGGGAACACTGGATTCTGCTCACTAAGTCATTCTGAATTTATCATGCTGTAATTTACTGTAAGTTTGCATTGTGGATATCTTTAAAAAAGCAAGGTTGGAATTAAACATAATTGTTCATTTGCTTCAGGATGAATGTTTTTAGTGTCATTGTAATATTGCCAGTGATACATAACCAATTAAGGAGCTAGCTCAATAGATCTAACATTTTCTGAAGCAGATATTTCTAGATTTCTCTTTCAGTTTGTTTTAGTCTTCATCCCAAAAAGCAACATTTGGTGATTGGTATGCTGTACCTATTCTGCTCTCTATCGTGTCTATTTGAATCCAAATCAGGACAGCTGAGATATCTATGTGAGATATGTCAAACAGAATCATCTGTTGTTTTAACTTAATAAACCTAATTCACAGCTTGGTAGCACCATTTGATCATAATCTTTAGTCTTATAGTATTAGAATCAGAGCTAGTTAATAAAAACTAGCACGGAATGCAATTCATTTTCTAGTACTTAACAACTTATTGCATGGTCTTTCTTACTATAATTTAGGCTAAGAAGGAATTTTTATTTTGTTTTCTTACATTCAGTAGTACTCATAACACTATGTGTCATTATAATTGGAATTTCTTTTGATGTTGACATGTAGTTTAATATTAGCAAACTTGAACTTCTCAAACACATTTCAGTAATATGGGGGAGAAAATACATCTTGCTATAAACAAAGAACAAAAGGAAGAGATATTTACAGAGGCTTCAAAGACTCTAGTGATAATGCAGAAAAATAAGAAATGTTGCTGTGGGCCACAAAGTTAATTATAAATTAATTATAAAAGTGTTTGTGCCATTAAAAATAAGGATGCAGATCTTTACAAAAAGAAAATTAGTCTTTAGTGTCATCTGAATGGGTTACCTTTGTAGTACTTGAGGATTATGTTTTTACATTCAAATACAATATGGTTTTAAATATCAATTAGAGAGAATCCTGTCTGACTTCAAATATTCAATATCTATTTTGGAAATATGAGTGTGATAAATAAAGCCAACTAAGGGCACTAATCATGATACCTATAAATTACATCGAGTCATGAAGAAATAACACTCCTTACACTAGCTGTTGAAACACAAAGCAGGAAGAATATAATGCTAGGCAGAATTTGTGGGCCACTGTGAGGATACTATATGCTGAACTGAATGGGTCCTTGGCTTCATTCAGCACAGTTCTTATGTTGTTATGCTAGATGCTGTGAAGGATTTCTGTAGAAACACATAGTGAAGAAACAAACATGTAAGAGCAAGATTGAGGAGGAAATGTTTTTTTAATGCCATTGTAATTCTAACATCCATATAAATGGCAGCTTAATTAATATGTATTCTGATGGCCTTAAATTCATTTCCATTAACTAATTAGAAAGTCTTGCATAATAGGAATGTTACATATTTAAAAATGAGGGGATAATCACTATATGGTTGAGTTGTCTTGTTGAGGAAGTAAAGGTTAGTAAAGTAATTGGCTATATAAATCTACAGCAGGTTACTTGTCCTCTGTCGCTGTGTGAAACAAAGAAATAAATTGTATGTCTCAGCTGGTAACCTAAAGATCCCTTTTATTTGATTACAGCTTGCCTGAGCCTATATGACATTTCATTGACATTTTCTAAATTAAGGAGTTCATGGGTGTCTTTGTGGTGGGCAAAGGGGGAAAGACAAATCACAAAAGGTGAATAACGATGATATTGCACAAATTTACATACATATTTCAGACAGCGAGATGGAAGTACATAATGGTGGCATTTGTATGATGTCATCATACAAACACTGTCATTTGGGAGTTATTTCACCTTATTGTGGACACTTTTAATTTTTCCAGACTGCAGATTTTTTTTCTAATTTTTCTTTTTCCTTGATCTTGTGCACATAAGCCTTCCTCAACTGGAAGTTGAAATCCAGCATAGCAGGAGGACTTCATGTTGAGAAAGATTCTCAATTACCATTTCATTTTGTGTAGTTTCCTATTCTTAGGTTGTAAAAACAATTTTAAATCACAACACACTACCTTTTGAAAGCTTATTAAATTAAGGAAAGTATGTTCAAGTTCAAATTCACAATTGCAGTTATTCATTTAATGTGAACACGTACATCACCCCATGATGATGATATAATAATAATAATGATGATGATGATGATGATAATGATAATAATAATTAAAAAGTTGGAAGGGACCTTTGAGGTCATCTAGTCCAACCTCCCCCTCAGGCAGGAAATTGTATATCATTTCAGACAAATGGCTGTCCAGTCTCTCGTTGGTTAGTTTCCAACCATTGCTTCTTGTCCTGCCCTTTAGCTGCTTTGGAGAATAGCTTGACTCCCTCTTCTTTGTGACAGCCCTGAGATATTGAAACACTGCTATCATGACACCCCTCATCCTTCTCTTCATTAGACTAGACATACCCAATTCCAGCAACCGTTCCTTATATGTTTTAGCCTCCAGTCCCCTAATCATCTTTGTTGCTCTTCTCTGTACTCTTTCTAGAATCTCAACATCTTTTTTATATCGTGGTGACCAAAACTAAATACAGTATTCCAAATGTGGCCTTACCAAGGCATTGTAAAGTGGTATTAATACTTCACGTGATCTTGATTCTATCCCTCTGTTAATGCAGCCTAGAACTGTGTTGGCTTTTTTGGCAGCTGCAGTACATTGCTGGCTCATATTTAAGTGATTGACCACTAGGACTTCAAGATCCCTCTCACAGTTGCTACTATTGAGCAAGGTACCATCTATACTGTAC